CAATGTTCATTCCAAACGTTCCTGTCATAGCAACTCATTTAGGTAAATGGGTTCGCATTAGTCCTCATAATTTGAAAGACATGCAATTCAGACTAGTTGACTTTCAGGCGAGCCTGTAGAACTGAAGGCACCAGTGCGAATGACTGTTGAAGTAGACTTTTTAGAAAATATTAAATGCAACAGCTTACAAGAGAACTCAGAGCTAAAAATATAAAGTATGAATGTTATGTATTAGGTCATGAACTTTGGTTGTTGCTGTTTGATGAAACAAATGAGTTAGTTATGTCAGTCAAGAGAACAGAAAAAGGCGTCAAAGGCGCCGAGCGCAAAGCGCTATATTGTGTTAGTGAAAACTGCACCAAGTCAATAAGATTAGGTTTGCATTATGAAGATGAGTTCGATACTGTTGAAGAAGTTTTGGATAGATATTACAAATTGCTTTAATTTACTAAAACATATTTCAAGCAAAGTTTATATTCTGTTGAAAGTTTTGTATATTCATTCGAATATTTATACTTAAACTCAACTCCTGTAGTTCCTGGTGTTTCAATGATGCGGATGTTACCTATTTTCATGAATGGTGGCGTTTGACCACAGCATTCGATTTCAGGGTCGAGATAGTCAATGACACATTGTTTCCCTGTTATTCGTGATATAACATTTTCAAGGTCCTCCTTTGTTAGAATTATTTGGTTCTTACTTATAAGATTTGTCAAAAGCTTCTTATCGTCTTTGAGTAAAATTGTTTGGTATAACTGAAGAAGGTAATGGTCTACGTTATCTGAAGGATTTGTTTGAACATTTGTGTAAGGGTTGTCGTTGGCTTCTCTTGAAAGAATTTGGTCCAGTGGTGGATACTCTAACTTAACATCTGATGTAGCGTTAGCGTTTGAAGCTGAGTTTAAATTCACGGATTTCAGTTCTGGTTCTTTTTCTTTCAAACACTCCGAACTATAGTTCTTTATGACAATATTGTTTGTCGTTCGTGAGTCAACATTTGATGTTGGTTCAATTGGAACATTAACGGCACCAGCTAAGATGGATTTGCTTCTCATTTCATATAGAATAAAAACCTTTTATATGTATGAAATGAACAATATACTCGACAAGGGTTTGAATGTAAAGCTAACGAATGAAAATATTGTTGAATTCACTGAGACAGGTGCTGTGTATAAAGATGTAGAACTACTGAACAAAAGAGCTAAGGGAAGAAGCAGGAACATGAACAAAGGGTGGAAGCCTATAAAAATTTATGTCAATGATGGCTCAGGAGGTTCAAACATAAAGTATGCAGAAAGTTATAGAGTTTATGCTCTCAAAGGTGAAAAGCCTTCATTTAAGAACAGCTATTCTAACGCATATCCTCAAAAGTTAACGGATGGGGAAGTGGATGATATGAATGACAGCAAAAATATTAACAGAAATGGCGACAGAGATGCATGGAATTTGTTTACCATCAGTCAATTGAAGGTTAAACTTTAAAACAATGTTGGTCGTTCCCATGGAATATTTTTGACTTTAATGGTATTAGTCATGATATGAATCTCAAGGTATGAACGAGGAGAGATGAGAGACTTATATGCTTCCCAAATTTCTTCAAAAGGTAATGTTATACCTGACTGTTTCCAAATGAGTTCAATATCATAACGTGAGAAACCTTGAAAGATAACGAAGTCAGTTATGAGACGTTTTATGTTTAAAGCTAAAAACCTCCATGTTTGCATAAGTATTGCTACAGTTAAGTGGTAATGTCTGACTTTAGTAATGATGTTAGCTAATGGTGAGTCAGGCTTTGACACTAAACCTTTTCCGGCGAAGTCGTCGCAAACGAGCAGAGTGTTTGAAGGATACTTTTTGAAGGGGTATTTTGAAAGTTTTGATAGAATGTAGTTTGTAAGTCGTTTCATATCGTAAACTCCTGAGTACTGACGTAAGTGGTGTTTGTCAATAATTCTTTCCATCTCCTCAGAAGTCTTTTGCATTCCTGACTGTATAAATTCAACGATGGCATAATATTTCCTCTTACGTCGAATGTAACGTTGAAGAAATTCAATGAGTTCACTGTCTGGAACTTTAACGACAGAGGCTTGAACTTTTGACATAAATGTTTTCGCTGTTGAGTCCATAGAGTCTGAAGTTGCTGATATAATGATTTGGTCATAGTAAGAGTCGTTTCCTAAACGCTCTGTTATGAGTATATGACGAATGAGGTTAAATGTCTTACCTGACCCCATCTTTCCACAATAGAAATACACACCATTTGAACAGAACTCATAGTCCTTACTGAAAGGAAGAATGAGAGAAGAGTTAAGTTTGTCTGTAGTTTCATTCATGTCTTCATCTACGTCATGTATTAAATGCTTCATTTTATCTCCATTAAAAATGCAAGTCAGAAATATTCAGAACATAGCACCGAGTCTAACTGACAAGAGTATAAAGATATACTATGAACACGTTATGATGAAACCAACCAAAATTCAAGAAAGTCAGTATACTTATGAATATCCAAGACACTGGGTAGAGTATGTAGGAGGTGAGAAAGCTATTGAAATAAGACAAGTTAGAAGTATTCCAGCAGGAAGGACAATATTATTGAAGAACTTTAATGTTTTGAGATATAATGATGAGACAAAGAAGCAAGATAGTTTTCCTATTGCTGTGTATGTGAACCTAGACACAGGAGATGACATGAAAGTTTTTAACACAAAGCTTCAAACGGTATTGAAAGAACAACTGACTGCGGAAGGACACCCATTACCTTCAGAAGTTACCATAGCGTATAATTTTGAAACAAACTCAATAGATTTTAAAGTCATCTCTGCAAAGAAGTCAGGTTTTACATTTAATGAAGCAGATGTATATTCGAATGAAAACTTCAAAGCTATTGCATGGTTAGATAATGACGATTGCTTTAAGAAAATATTTAAATTCAGTGACTCAACGATGTCAATAGATGACCTTCGTGGAATGTTACCATCGACGTTTACAGTTGAAGGTTCAGCAGGATTGCTTACAAGATTGTCAATTGGTGGTATTTGGTCTCGTGAGAACATTGTTATAAAATCCAGTATAAGTGAATTTGCTGAAGAATCTATATTATGTCTTTCAAACTATATGTATTCGCCGCCGAAGCATTATAGTATAACAAACTTTGTCAGTAAGTTTAACATAAGACTTGTCGAACCTTCTTCAATGAAAGATGTTGTGCTACCTAAAGATGGAAAGGATGGACTCATTATTGAAATGATTTTAATAGCATATTAAATGAGCTTGTTTTTAAAGGTCATTCATGATGAAATAACTGTTGTAGAAGATGTTAGCAATTGTTCAGACATTTTGAAGCGTATAGATGATATAAGAAAGAAGTTTATGAATGAGAATGTTTATGTTTCATTGACTTTCTCCAGTAACGAGAACTTTTATGAGATAATATTGAAGAGAGATGATTTTAATATGGTGTAAATGGTAGCTTGGGCAGCTTTAGGCGCAATGGGAACAAAAGCATTAGCATTTGGAGCAAAAGCACTTGGGGCTTATGACGCAGTAAATAAAATGAGTGGAGGAAGAGTTTCGAAGACATTAGATGCAAATAAAGGAAAGATTGGAGGCTGGGTTGCAAAGAAGTTAAGATTAAATAAAATAGGGCTCATAAATAAAGCATCCAATTTGGTTGCGACTGAGTCAGAAAATGCTTTAGGAAAGGACGATGAGTTTGCAAAACACGCAAAAGACTTTAATGACCAGATGAAAGGTGAAACAATGCATTTAAATAGAGTCGATGGAACTCTTCCTCCACCAGTAGTTCTTCCGTATGGTCCCTATGGAATGTATGGAAACCCTTACGAAAGACCATTTGACCCATTGACTGGTGGAAGTAACTGGTATCATTACGGACGAAGAAGAAAGACAGTTAAGCTGGAGACAGACGTGAAGAAAGCAACTAAAAAGAAACCAAGGAAGAGAGTTATAAAGTAATGAATTCAAGTGGGTGAAAAAACAGGTGAAAAAAGAGGTGACATCTCACCACTTCACCTAAATTTATTTTTGTGCTATGTTTTCATACGTGTGAGGGTGGTGATATCATTAATTTTTTATTTATTCTGAAAATTTTTATTTGGATGTAAATGACAGAACAAAAGCAACTCATACAAATCGAAAAATATAACAAACATACATTTAAACATTTATTCTTCCTTCCTGAGCATAACATGTTCTTTACACTTCATCCTAGACCAGTTGACTTTTCATTGACTGTGTATAAAGATTGTCATGGTAGTTTTTATAAAAACTTATGATGATGAAGGTAAGTTAACAAGACTATGCATTTCAAAACTTGAGAAACTTTATGACTTCAAGTATGACTACAATAGAGTTAACATTGACGATGAAGATATAGAAGAAAATTTATGAGAACGTTTATTTTTTCATTAGTGAGTTCGTTAGTGAGGTGAAATGGTTGGCGGCTTTGTAAATATTTAAGGTTAAGTTAGTTTTTGCGTTCATGTTGTAAAATGTACGTTAACGGTTTTGTCAAGTGTCAAATTCACAAGTATTGGGTAAGGTGGAACGCAGTGCCGCCGTACCCAAGACTGGTGTACTAACTACTTTATATATATGTAACTTGTTTATTTCTATTCGCAGTATTCAGGTTTGTGCTAAACACACCTTTGGACACCCTATATTAATCATAACGTTATTAATTAAATTTGTTTTGTTTTTTACTTTATCAGTGTTCTAGCATTGTTACTCTAGAATATCGAAACTCTTACAATCGGACATATGTTATTAACTGTTCGGGGGATTCAAAAGGAGAAGTTTTTATTCCTAAAAACGTTTCTGGTTTTTCTGGCCATGGTTTATGGGATTCTGTATTTGAGAATTGTAGAGATTTAATTACATCAGTTACGTTCGAAGAAAATATCCAAAGTGAATTTATTACCAGATATTGTTTTTATAACTCAAGTATTGAATCTGCAAATATCAGTGGGTGCAAAAATCTAATGTCGCTTGGTGTAAATGCGTTTGGAAAATGTAAATACTTGAAATCAGTTATACTCCCTCCAAATATTTATAGAATAGAAATGAATTGTTTTGCTAACGATTACAATTTAACATCCATCGATTTACCAGATTCTTTAGTTTTTATAGAATGCCATGCATTTGAACAAAGTGGTTTAGAAATTATTAATATTTCACCTAATTCTAAATTAGAAGCATTAGATTATAGTTGTTTTGAAGGAACAAAACTTTCTTCAATTTTTATTCCGAAGTTTGTAAGACCATTTGAGACAAGAGTTTTTGATGATTGTATATTTTTAGAAAATATAACAGTTGATCCAGAAAATAAAAATTATAAAAGTGATTCTAAATCAGTTTATAGAGGAACAGATAATTCTACATTATTTAAAGTTGTTAGCAGATATTTAGGTGAATATATTGTTGCGAAACATGTTACAAAAATTTCATATAATTGTTTTTCATATTGTGTAAATATATCATCAATTCAACTTCATAATGAATTAACATCTATTGAAGAGTATGGGATATCTAAATGTACATCATTGAAAAGTATAATAATTAAAGGAAATATTTCTAAATTAAATAACGGAATATTTGCACATTGTTCATCATTGCCAAATATTATAATCCCAGAAATAATAACTGATATTGGTAAATACGCATTTTATAATTGCACATCATTAACAAATATTACAATTCCAAAATCAGTGACAAAAATTGATTCTAATACATTCAGTTATTGCATATCATTAACAAACTTTACAATTCCTGAAACGATAACAGATGTTGGAGAATATGCATTTAAAAATTGCACATTATTAACAAATATTACAATTCCAAAATCAGTATCAAAAATTGATTCTGAAACATTCAGTTATTGCATATCATTAACAAATTTTACAATTCCTGAAACGATAATTGAAATTGGATCTGATGCATTCAGTTCTTGCACATCATTAGTCAATATTGTTTTTCATGAGAAACTAACAAGGATTGGACCTTATGCGTTTGGTGGTTGCACATCATTAACAAATGTTTCAATTCCCGAGTCAATAAACCATATTACAGATGGTTTATTTCATCATTGCAATTCATTAACAAGTTTTATAATTCCAAATAATGTAAAGCATATTGGACGTGGTGCATTTGCCAATTGTAGATCGCTAACAACTATTTCAATTCCAGAGAATGTAACATATATTGGAGATTACGTATTTGGAAATTGCATACCGTTAGCAAGTATAATAATTCCAGGAAGTATTTCGAATATTGAATTTTATGCATTTAAAAATTGTACAAATCTCAAAAGTATATATTTCCGAAATATATCTAATTTCATCAGATTTGATCGAGGTGTATTTTCTGATATTCCAAATCCGATGAATATTTATATTCCTGGAAATTTTAATCTTATTGATCTTTTTGAAAGAAATATATTCCCAAACAGAAGTCATTTATTTGTTACAAGTCAAACAAGATTATCACAATTATGTAAAATTCTCTTTGGTGAAAAGTCTGTTTATGTTCATATGCAAGAAATGACTCATATTCAAGATAATATAACAAACAAAGTCATCGAATTCATAGCGATTGATATCATATATCAAAAAACAAAGCATAAATGTGTTTATGATAAAACACATTCGTTATTTCTTTCGAATACATTTGCATGTCTTAACAGAGGTAAATAAATAAAATGATAATATATTTTTTATTCATGAGTTTTAATTTTTATTGATAAGATCTGAAGAACCAGTTTGTGAGCATAATTGATTCTGATTTTACAGTTGGATCGTTCATAAATATGTCAGGATGAGATTTGTAGAATTGATATAAAATATCGATTATTTCAATCAAATCATTCATAGTAAAATAGAATTCATAATCATTTCCAAAAACAGAAGGTGTTTCGTTGACATATTTGATCAAAACTGAAAGAACTTCAGGATAAATTTGTTCACAATTCTGAGAGTTCAAAAGTTCTGTGCATATTTTAGAAATGTACATGTTCAAATGTGTTTTTTCAACATCAAACTTTTTGAGAATTGATTTAGTTGATTCTAAATTTTCGTTATATTTTGCTAACAAAAGTTCACAATCGATTTCTGTCGATATATCGATACCAAGGAATTTCATCTTGCTGTACAATTCGATTAAATCACTGTTGTTTTCATTTGGACCTTCGTTGTAAATCAATGAACAAATTAACAAAGAAATACATTCATAAAGATTTTTGTTGTATCCAAAATCTGGGATGAGTTCAGTAAACATATGTAAAAACTCTCGAATTAAACCATTAAACATTGCATTGTTTCTCATTGAGCATGTAAACAACAAATTAGTTGTGTGTTGAATAGATTTGATACTATAATTTCTTTGTTCTAATGATTCAAATATCTTATTATGAATATAATTAACATCAATAGAATCTGGAAGAATATTATTAGTCATTGCATAAATGATCAAATCAAAAATAGTAGAATTACTTTGAAGTTGATCAATAGGAGTTATTACGTCATCGGATGATGAAACAAGTGGTATTAATTTATCAATAGGAAGATTTGCTTTGATTTCATCAATATTATAAAAGTTCTTCAAAATGAATTGTTTCGAATCTCCAATGAATTGTTTTGGATCTCCAATATATTGTTTGCAAAACTCTGAGATCACATTGTAGATATTATGATCAATAACTTCGAGTTTTGAAAGATAATCAGAAAACATCGTAAGATTGATGAATAAAGATGATTCATATAATGATTTTGTTTGTAACAAAATCAAAATATCACATAACATATCATACCATACTGTATCCAAATGATTTCTTTTGGAAATTATAAAATTATAGATTGTGCACATGAAATTAATACAAAATTGAACAAAATAGAAAGTATTAAAATCACTTTCATAAGAAGAGAATTCATCAATGATGAATCTGCTCTTAACAAGTAATAAATTAATCAAATTATTTTCAAAATCAGTTGTTAAATTATCATCATGATTTGTTTCAATCAAGATAGAGATATAAATACTAGTAATTATGTTGCAAAATTCAAGAATATTGAAATCTTCTGATTCACTTTTTATCTTTTGCAAATCATATTGTTCGAGCATTTGAACAATTTTGACTTTCGTTTCTGTATCTAAAAAATGATCTCTAATAGAAAGATTCAATAGATAAAGTGGTGCTAAAGATTTTGGTTCATTTTGGAAAATCTCAATAATTTGATTAATTATTAGATTGTAATCATTTACATTCAACATTTTAATGGCATTTGAAAGGAAAACTAATGAATATTGGAAAAATTCTGGATATTCAAAACAGAAGATAATGATATCAGTGTAAACATCTAAAGTTTTGTACTTACTAATTGTTTCTAGCCATGAAAAGAACATTTGCCATTTATAATAATCGTTCATTTCTTTACTTACGTCAAATGTTTTTGAAATAATTCCATTTAAATCAATTGTTTCTATATCAGAAAATCCTTGAATATTAAATGCATATGAAATTAATCCAAAAATCCTAAAGATATTGTAGTTTTGATCTAAATCATTTCCTTCAATGATTTTGTCAATGATTTCAACAGTTGCTGAAATTTTGTCAGAAAAATAATTCAAAATTTTGAAATTTGAAAGAATGATATCAATTTGGTCAATTTCGCAATTAAAAAGCAAATTAACAAGGAAGTCTACCAAAATAAGTATTAATTCATCAGATACAGTAATAATCTCGCCAGTTTGTGATTCTTTTAATGAATAAACTTTGTTCCATTTGATACTTGAAATAAATGCAGGGAAAATCTTGTTATAATCCAAAACAGAGATTTGATTAAGATCAAATGGAAAGTTACTGATTTCATCTACTAATAAATAATGCTTTGATTCATTAATAAAAATATTAAAAATAAAATCTGTCAAAATTTTGGAATCATACAAATAAAAGGATCTTGAAATCAATGGAGATACAGATTCTGACAATTGTTTGTTTCTATCGGTTGATTTATTATCATTATTGAAATATAATAGAATTTTTGATAATGTATAATAGCAACGGTTAAGATACTGTGGTTCAGATCGATTTAGTATTTCTTGGTTTAATAAAACCACTTTTTCAAATAATAAATTTGCATTTTCATCTGTACATGGATTTGAAGCCATAATCAAAGGCTTAAGTCTGTTGTATCTTTGGTTTAATGTATTTGTGTCTATGTTTATATCTATATATGAAAGCAATTCAAAAGGAGTTTCACATTTTACGAAATTTTGTTTCTCGTAATGCATTAAAAGTTCCTCAATTAAGCAAATTTTGAATCTTTTCCCTAATTCCGCATTCTCAATCTTAAAATTCGGCGGAATAAATTTAAGAATTGTTGCAATTATTTGAGTTCTTAGATTTTCTACCTTAAAGCCACTGGATTGAATGTAGTCAATGACCTTACGGTTAAACAAGAGCATATAAGATTCCATGATCAAATTTGAAATTCCAGATTGAAAAATCTCTATTGCTGAACTTTGTACCTTCTTGAAAGTTTTTTCATCGAGTGCTCCTTGCAATGCTAATAATATGTTGTATACATAAAATGGTTTTATTTGTTGTTCGGTTTGCATTCTTTGAGAAAAAATGAAATAAAATTTTACTTCACAAATTTTAAAGGAAAATCTCTTGGAAAAAATCCAAATTGAGAAATTATTTTCTCATGAATGATGATGCAGCAGTTTTCAAGTCAATTCGTGTGAAATCGATTATTTGCGAGTGAAAAATAGTTGTTTTACAATTCTTCATAAAAATTGAGAACTTTACAAAAAAACTTTATCAAGAATTTGGAAAGAGCATAAATTTTCAATTTGAACCACTTGTTGTTTCAAAATTCAAGTCTGTCTTCCTTAATTATTTATAAAAACTTTGAGAAAACCAGTTTCATCATTTCTAAATTTTATAATGTGCGAAAACCAAAACTTCTTTTAACTCTTAAATACACAAAGCGAGTTCTATGAGAATTCAAGCAAAGGCACTTGCATTATAAGTCCTTCTGCTTTACTATTTAAATCTCGGGTCACAAATTTAAATCTCGTTTTAAGTCAGATAGGTGTAAGTGCATCCTTAAACGAGAGTATAAAAGTAATTCAATGAATAGATAGATGAAAAATTTTAAATAAATATAATACAAATATAAAAAAAATTATCAAACTTGATCAAAGTTATCCTCATCATTTCCAAGTGCTTCTGGGCTGACTTCTTTAGCACCTTCTTTGAACAATCCTCTTGAATCGCTTGTGTACTCAGAAGTTCTTCCCATTGACTGCTGGAAGATAACATCTCCGATATGTTCCATTCTGTTCTTGAAAGATTCTTCATCGAAAGGAATTGATTCATTATCAAGATGAGAAACATATTCTTTTGTTATCTCAATCAAGTAGTTCAATCTTCCTTCCAATGTCGACAACCTCGTCTTCTTTTGTATTTTATTGAACGTATCAACAATCTCTGGCCCAAGTCTTTGCATGGCGAGCCCGAGAACAAACATGTCTTCGTTCGGAAAATCGCAGGAAAGAATGTTTTCTCGTTCACTAATTTCCTTCCAAAATTCAAAGAAAGGCTGTGGAGTATGTGGACGAAATCCATCAGCACCGAGCTCAATAATACTTGGCATTACCTTAACAAGCTCTCTGTAACAGTCCAATCCGGTGTCCGATGTATTCTTACATGACAAAGATAATCTTAATAACTTCAAATCCTTCAAAGAGTCAACGAACTGTGAGAAAACGCTTGTTGGGAACTTGCCACTGAGATCCAAACCTTTGATTGGTATGATATGGAGTAACTGTGTCAAACATGAAAGGAATAATGTTGAATCTCCACATGTAAGCTCGTTCATTGATAGGAGATGGCATTTTGACTGGGTGAACAAGAAGGCAAAGAAGTACTTTATCGAGTCTTTGGGAATATAATTGCCTGACCAATCGATTTCGCAAAAATTGGGTAATAATTTATTGAAATCGAGTTGACTGAGCATTTCGTACGCAGAAGTTTTCAAAACTAATTCATGCGCTTGGAAAATAAATGGAATTTTGGCGGTTTTGTAAAGTAACAATTCTATCAAAGTTTTGAATGAAGTATCAGTAAAAGAAGAAAACGAAATATTGAGCAATGTCAATGATTTAGGTAACTCCAGATCAAAGGGTACGTCTGTTCTGAACTGTAGATGTGTTAATCCTAAAGCTCTGAGCCTTGTTTTTGATGAACAAATGGCTTTTAGCAAATGTGTTGCATCTATGTCAAGACATGCTCTGAACGTAAGAGAAACTAGGTTCTGTGTGAACCCAAGAAGCCTTGTGATATCGAAAAATGGGAATGGCTTCATTGAAACTCTGACTAAATAAAGATATCTGACATTGCAAGCAGATTCTGATTCTGAGAAACAAGTAACTATATCTCCAAACTCTTGTGGTCTGAGAACGCATGATGCAATGATGATTTCATCCATTGGTGATGAAATTTGATTTGCATTTGAAAATAAATCTCTAATTACAAGTCCACATGATCGTAAGAACCAATATCTCTTTATGCTAGTCTTTGAAATGGGCTCTAATTGAAAACTGACTGGATTTCTTTCTTTATAATCTGCAAATGCGATTCTTTCGATTTTTTGAGCATTTTTCATGATTGCATTTACAAGAGGAGAGAATTTTGATGAAACACAGCTTTGAAAACAAACTGTTGCGATTGTTGGATCCCATCCAATTGCATGGCCAATAGCTGTTGCGAAATTTCCTGGATGGAATTTATTTCCAAGTACAAGTAAGTTGCGATGGCTAGTTTCAAATTTCGTGAAATAGTCAAGTGCTGTAATTTGATTGCTTTTTATATGATAATAATGTGCAAGGAATAATGATCTGTGTCTTAATGCGCTGGATGATCGTATTACATCATTGTAATCAGGAAGAGGAATGTCAGATCTAATTGTCATAAATTTGAAGTTTTTAACTCCATTTGTACACTCTGAAAACATGGAGAGAAGTACATCTACTATAGGAACAATTTCGTTACTTTTGATCAATAGTGAATTATCTTTAAATGTCATGGTAAATGAATTTTGTTGAACGTAAAAATCAGTACAATCCAGCAAATGATATTTGTTATAGTATTCAGGGCCGCTTATCATTGTTGTTTTGAATAAATAAATGGCTCCATACGTTGCCATAATTATTCCTGACAAATAGAATTCATTTTGACTTTCTTGAAAGTCGATCTTTGCTGTTAATAATGGCTTCTCACCTTCGGTCCATGCACTTTTCAGCATGATTTGGAGTCTTGAATTGTTGATTGCAAGATACTCCTTATCCATCTGAAATTAATGATTTCGAAACATTTGAAATATGCTCTTTATTAGTAGTATATTATTGTTATTAAATTGTAATTGGATAGATCAGTTAGAAATGAATTTTCATATCCAATTGCTTAAAGTACATTAAAAGATGATCTATTTTGAAGAATATTACTGATTAAGGGTTTCGTTTTGCTAAAATTGTCACTTTTATAGCATATTTGTTTTTGGATGTTTTGCGAAACCAAAAAAAAAAAACTATGATATACAATGTGTGTGTAAAGAAAATACTTTATTTACTAGTTAAAAAATCATTTGGTATTGATCAAGTTATTTTTTCTGGATAAGATATTATATGGATAATTGGATAGAAAATACAATTATATAATTTTGTACCTGGTTTAATTAAGCTAATTGTCATCAGAAACTTGTAATTTTTATGAATTTCAGATTTTCTTTTCATTACTGCTTTTCTTAATAGGTCAAGTTCTTATTTACATTATAAAGTATGATATTTACAAATATCAAGTTATCGTGTTTTTTGAGAAATTATGAGAAACAAATAAAAATGAAAAAGATAGGAATAGCAATGAATAGTGATGTGGGTATAGAAAATGTAAGAGATATGAATGCAAAGCAATCAGTATTTAGGACATTGACCACAGATTTCGAAAAAAAAATGCTGCATATTGAGCGAAAACTATGATTATATTATAAGGCTGTCATTTAAAGCATAATGAAACTATTCCCTTTTCATTTTAATCGAATAAGATAGTAAAGATTTTTGAATTAGCTAGAAACTGATGAGATGTTTTCACAAATCAGATTTTTAATCTCTATAATGCATAATTCACTCAATATCTCAATTTTGATATTGCGAGATATTTTTGCTATCGGTTTCGCAATTTTGACACAATAGCAAGAGGGTTCTATAAGAATTATTATCAACGTAGAATCTGAATATCATATCAGAAAATGTCGCAAATCTGACATTTACCCGACCAAATAGCAAAAATAATTGAATACTTTTCGCAAAAACTTTAAAAATCGATAAAAATATGAAATATGTTGTAAACAGAAATTCATCAAAAGTGACACCTCAGAAAAGCTAAAATATTGAATTTTTGGAACTTTTGATAGAGCACGTTTTTAAATATTAATTAAAGTAAATGTATATTTTGTAAAGATTCTTTTTAATAAAAAAATAAAATTTTGAAGAAGAACACAAAATCTTCTAAAAAATAATATCACATAAACTCATATTATTTTCTAATATATAACTATTTTATATAAAAATCAAATTCAATGATCTTAAAAGCGAAGGATAAACCTCAAAATTTACGAATATAATGAGTGGGAATATAATGCTTATCTATCATAAAACCATATGAAATATCAATTTTTGCTTTACGCCTAATTTTTGACGACAATTAGCAAAAAATGTTAAATGTTAACACTCAGTCCATTTGAATATGAAAAATAAAATTGACTTTGATTAAATGTTTTTATTTATCATGCAATTCTTCTTGCGACCAAAGATTTGAATAAAATTTCAAAAAATAAGATAACTTAAAAAATAATATACGGTAGTGTTTACTAATAGATGAATAGTATATAAATTCTATTAAAATGGATTTGATCCAAAAAAATATAAAATCAAAAATAATTGTTATAATTTAAATGAAGAAGTAATTTAAAACGATTTTATTTATGATCAAATTTTATATATTTTTTGGATCAAATCCATTTTAATAGAATTTATATACTATTCATCTATTAGTAAACACTACCGTATATTATTTTTTAAGTTATCTTATTTTTTGAAATTTTATTCAAATCTTTGGTCGCAAGAAGAATTGCATGATAAATAAAAACATTTAATCAAAGTCAATTTTTTTTTCATATTCAAATGGACTGAGTGTTAACATTTAACATTTTTTGCTAATTGTCGTCAAAAATTAGGCGTAAAGCAAAAATTGATATTTCATATGGTTTTATGATAGATAAGCATTATATTCCCACTCATTATATTCGTAAATTTTGAGGTTTATCCTTCGCTTTTAAGATCATTGAATTTGATTTTTATATAAAATAGTTATATATTAGAAAATAATATGAGTTTATGTGATATTATTTTTCAGAAGATTTCATTCTATATGCCTATGAAAAGTACTCTCAAAACTAACTTTTCCCTAATTATAATTAAATCTAGAATATTGTATTATGCTTAGTATTATTTCATTTTTCTCATTCAATTTAGAATTTACAAATGTCAAAAAATTGAGAGCTGTCACTTTTGATGAATTTCTGTTTATTACAAATATAGATATTAAAGAGACTTTTTATATAATATTCATAAAGATTTTCCAAAAATATGATACCGCAAAATTAAAAAAGTGACGTCTTGAGTGGAGTCAAAGGTCGAAATTGCTAGCTAAATGTTTTTTTAGCGAAATTGCGTATTGTACGTTTTTTCGCAAAACGAAACCCTTATACTGATAGAATTTTGAAAAATGTGCATGTCCTCCTGAATATGTTAGATTTGCAAATAAATTTTGTTCAATTATGGAGATAAGTAAAATTTGCATTAATATTTAGATATGTAACATCATTTTATGATTATACTCGAATTTTTGATAATATCTAAAATTGATGAAGAAATCAAAATGTTAAACGGCAAAGCAGGGGATCTTCCTTATCAAGTAGTCTATGCAACAAGTAATGCTGCAAGATCAACTGCAGTAAACATTTGCACAAATTCTGCTTACGAAGATGGATGGATGTCCGCTCCAAATTCATTTTATCCGCAAGAATTAATTCTCGACTTTCATCGCTCTGTTTGCGCAACAGAAATCAAAATAATTTCACATCAATATGCTATTCCAAAAGAAGTTTTCTTTGAAATTGCAGATGATATATTACCATGGAAACGCGCCACTTTTAACCCAATATCTTCAACTAAATTTACCGACAACAAAGAAAGACAATATAAAGCGCGAGAAATGAGATCAGCAACACTTCCAGGAATTCATTTTCGTTTTCTCAAACTAAAGATAACAGGCGCGTTTCAAAATCCACAAAATACAAAGAACCAAGTCGGAATAGTTTCATTTACTGTAAATGGAACTATAGATAATACATTTGATGACGAAGAAATTTTAAGATTAACAGACTTAAAGCGTCAAGCAGTTGATACCGAGGACTATCTTCTTGCAGCAAAGATAAATTCACAATTAAAGGCATATAAAGCCAATAAAGCGGCAATCGACGAATTAAATAAACAAAAGGATGAAGCAGTTAAAGTACAAAACTATACACTAGCCGAACGCCTTAAAAATGAAATTGCGAGACTCTCTAATCAGCCATTTGCTGAAGAACCTTTACCTCCTCCACAAAATCTTCCAAATTATCAGCCAGAAATACATTACGATCAAGAGCCAATACCAATAACTCGTAGATCTTCCGCTCGCGAATCTCAACAGTCATACATAAGTGAAAGATCTCCACAGATTCAGAGCTTCGACCAAGAACCTTCACAAGAACCATCAATGATGACTGATAACAGACCAATACATGCAATGGAAGGTGATCAGTACAGTATTGCCGAATCAACTCCACCTCGTCGTCGCTCAAATCAAGGAAGAAGACAAATGAGACAACAACCGCCAGAACTCCAAAATTCAAGAGCATTTGATGACGAAAACATGTCACAAGAAATCCAAGTTGAGAAACTAACAGAACAGGCAGCTCTTGAAAGCCAAGAACTCATAGAAGCTCTTGGAGAAGAGCCTCTTAGATACTTCTACAGCAGAACTGTTTCATCAAGAGTCAGAGGTTACGAAATGGTCAGAGATGGAATATTTAATGCTCGTAGAAGACAAACACAACTTTTTGTTAGATTCATGGATATTATACAATTAGAATCTAATCCACAGTGTTTCTCAGCTGCTTTGAATGTCATCAAAGAACTCACAAGTAACTTAGATTTAACAAGAGATGCAAAGCACGTAATAGAACGTTTTATTCCGAAAATTGTTGACAGATTAAGTGCGATGACAGCAACAAACAAAAGAGTTAATACTGAATGCCAGAAGTTCCTTATATGGGCAGCTTCAGATAGAATCATTGGACCGGCTCCTGTTGTTGAAGCAACAGTAAAGATGCCAAGACAAGGTCAAAACGCTCCATCTTTGTCAATGAGATTAATCGTTTTGGATGAAATCATTAACAAATATGGAGAATTTGACATTGACATGGTAAGTATCGGTAATTTCGCTGCCAATTGCTTGGATAATTCACAAGCTGATGTAAGGAATAGATCAATGAAGATTTTCGAGTCTTTGTTCAATATTGAAAGGATGGATGTAATTGATGCTCTCTTTAAGAGGGATGGAAAGCTTAATATGCCGAAGCCAATTATGGAAATGTATAATGCAAGAAGGAGACGCTAAAAATAATGGAATATTTGTTTATAATTCGACTAAAATTTAATATTGTTTATGATTATTCTAAAATAATCCTTAATATTTCAACAGAAAATCCTAATTATGTTTCGTGATTCTATTCATCCATTCCAATTGATATTTTAACACATATGAACTTTCCATAATGTATCGTATTCCATCGTGGATATAAATAAAATGTATTATCTTTTAGGCAAATCGTTTTTAATTCTATTGGTAAGCATGTTTAGAGTATAGCCATGGTCAAACGTCAAAATGAAAATGAAAATTAAGGGTATTATTGAAAACTAAAGGCTTTTGAATAAAAATTCATTAAGAAATGGCATCTAGTAGAAGGCACATTTCAGATTCTTTAAATATAACGCCTCAATCTATTGTAATTGGTTATGGCTGAACGATTATTTTTATTTCAATTATTGATAGCTCAATACAATAACCGTAATATAATCTGAAATTTCACCCATCTTTTTCCCTAGAAAAAAAGAAATGTATATTCGTTTGGAAATATGTGGATGTATTTCAGATTCGATTTAAAATTTTTGACACTTGTGTAATGTTTTTTCTCCCTTTTTTGATTAGAATGATTTCATCAAACGATGAATACCCATTCTATATCAAAAACACAGGTGCAAACAATGGCATTCCAAACGAAGACATTGATGTCTTGCCTGTTTGGAATAAAAATATAAAAGGCAAAGGAATTCATATCCGATTTTACATTCCTGGGTGCAACGCTAAACACGAGGCATTTGGAGATCGATATTATGAGAACATGTCATATAATTACGAATCTAAAAATCGAAATGTATCAATTGCGGAAGAAACAGATTTAATTCTCGGCACTTCAGCTGTAAGTATCGCAACAGCAGGTCTTGGAAAAGGACATTACGCAGGAGTGGCGCCAGAAAGTACGTTTTCTGTTATAGTTCCCAATAATAAAGACGTCAACATTCAAAATTACTTAGATAAACTTAAAGTAACTATATCAACAGAGGATATTATTGTCGATCAATCCACTTTTTGCAACTTTCCATGGATTACATCTCATCATTATTTTTACTATCGCTACCTAGAATTCATTGACTCATTTCTAAGGACGTATGTTACAGGAAGAATCTACCACGGTATAGGTTATTGTATTCCTACTCGTCCACAACGTGATATGCCTCATTTATTTATACATTATCCGCATGTGTTGCAAGTTGCAGCATGTGATGTGAGAGGCGGAATTGGTTCTAACCATCAGCATGACTTTGCGACCGTTGTTTGTGCTCCATCTACAGGGCTTCCAAATGATGATTTTTATCCTGATTTTCCTTCAGCGAAATACAACAATTTAACAGGAGAAAACAACTATTCTCGGTTCTGTGAAGCTTCCGTTGCAGCGGGAGTTGCAGCTTTATTGATTCAAAATAATCCAAATTATCCGCAAGAGATATTCTATGGATTTTAGCATTATCGTCTACAAAGAATGATCCACATCATCCTTCGTGGTTCAAAAACGCTGCCGGTTACAGATATAATCCTTATTACGGTTTTGGTCGAATTAACGCTTCAGCAGCCATTGAAATGTCTTCTACATGGTCTAACAATGTATTACCTACACACAGAATTATATTATCAAGGAAAGTTAATATCAATCAGACAATTCCTTTCGCAAGGACAGGAAAGATTGAATTAACATTCAGTTTCAATATAACAGATCCAGATTGTTTTGTTGAGAATGTTATTTTCAAGTTCAATGTTTCTAATCATGACATTTCTCGATTAAGAATTTACTTAGAAAGTCCATCAGGAACAAAAATCGAATTGATGAAACCGAGTAAATTATTCCGTACTACATTCATCAAATCCGATTTCTATGCATCAGAACCTCTTCATCTTCTTTCACGATGCTTTTTCGGAGAAAAAGTTGGTTGTGATTGGAAAGTTACAATTGTTGATGGCTCATTCTATACTAATAACCACATAACAAGTGCTGTTCTTACTATTGAGTACATGGCAGAATGTGAAAGTCTTCCACGTATGAATGAACACGAAGGTCATCATTCGGCATTTGAATATACATCAAAAGTAGACAATATCAAACTTCAAATGAATCAAACTGAATTAGAATGTGGTGTAGAATATCCATTTTCTATGAACGACGTCGGACACAAAAACATAGTATATATGTCTCTTGTTGATCCGGAAACAAACTATACACATACATTAGAATATACACCTAATAAACCAAATTACAATTTGCGAATTCCATGTTACTACGAAGGAACACGCGAATTCTATATATCAGCACGATCTTTTACACTTGAACAAGTTTCTTCAGTTCGTGTTCGTATTACAAACAAAAATTCTGTTTCTGGTTTCACGATTCCTTCTGCATACGAGAATTTCAACAGCAATCCTGCAACACCTACATTCAAAAGTGTAACTGTCGTTGACAACAGACGGAAGTTTGTTCAAGCAGGAATCTCAGACTATTATTTAATTTCATGGTACGACTTGGACACGAACACCATTGAATATTCACGTGCTGTTTATTCAATAGATAAAACTACTATCCAGTTTGTTCCAGGAATCAAGAAAACTGTTCATGCTGTTCTTACTATGGTTCCTAGCAACGCAGAAGATGACGACCCTTGTTCAACATATATAATTCCGATTTTGATATCGAATGACACTCCACAAGACTCTAAATTTGCAGTTCCTCTGAATGATTTCTGTCCAATTCCAAACGGAGTCATAACAAAACTTCCTATTACGCCAACACCAAGCAGTAAGAACTTCTTCAAGACAGCAGGAGGAATTTCTGTCATTATTGTTATTATTATCGTTCCTGTTTCTATCTCAATTGGAATCTTTTTCTTCTACAGATCTCGGAAAATGCCCAAAGTTAGATCTGCTTTATCCGATCAACTTCTTCTTTAATAATTTTTTTATTGTATTTTATATATTTCGCGTTTTAACTTTATTTTTATTTTATTTCTATTTTATAAAGTATAACTATCATTTTACTATTTTTCTCTATTTGAAACTTTTTTTTACAATAAACTCTCAAATTTGGAACCGAAACATTCAAATTTTAATTGAATTGATTTTTATTTGTATATAGAATCATCGCATAATTTTGTAAAATTTCGGATTTTTAAAATATTTGTCAAATTTCTTTTTGATTATGTATTTTTACTTTATTGTCTTTATCTCAAGTACTGTCACTCTCGAATATCGCGAGAATAGTAACAATCAAGTTGTTATTGGCTGTACAACAGATTCAAGTGGCGAAGTTTTTATTCCTAAAGATGTTACTGAAATATATAGCAGTTATCCAAATTATGCATTTAAGAATTGTAAAGATTCAATTACATCACTTAAATTCGAAGATAATAGTAAAATTACCAGTATTAGCAGTAGTAGTTTTTCTTACACAAGTCTTGAATCAGCAAATCTCAGTGAATGCAAACAACTTACATTACTTAATTCAAATGTCTTTTCTAACTGTAAATACTTGAAATTAGTTATACTTCCTCCAAATATTTCAGAAATTGGAGGTTATTGCTTTCAATACACTGAAAATCTAACATTAATAGATTTACCAGATTCTGTAGTTACTCTTGGTTCTAATGCATTTCAAAATAGTTGTTTAACAACCATTAATATTTCACCTGATTCTAAATTAAAAACAATATATTATGGTGGCTTTAGTTCAGCTAAACTTTCTTCAATTTTTATTCCAAAATCCGTAACATCAATTTCTTCAGAAACTTTTGATCAATGTCCATTAGAAAATATAACAGTTGATCCAGAAAATACAATTTGTAAATGTGATTCAAAATCATTTTATAAAGAAACAGATAATTCAACATTATTTAGAGTTTGTGTTTCATATTCAGGTGAATATATTGTTGCTAGTTATGTTACAAAGATTAATAGTTATTGCTTTTATAAATGTGTAAATATTTCATCGATTGAACTTCATGAACATATAACATCTCTTGGATCTAAAACATTTTGGTATTGTACATCATTGACAAATATTACTTTTAATGGACATGTAGATTCAATATCAAGTGATTATTTCTCAAATTGCGAATCATTAACAAACATTTTATTTAATGGAAATGTATTGTATATTTATGGTAATGCATTTTACAACTTCAAATCATTAACAAATATAACTATCAAAGGAGATATTAACCAAATTGGAAATAATGCATTTCAAGGCTGTACTTCATTAACATGTGTTACAATTCTTGGAAAAGCTACAAAAATTGGTCAATATACATTTTCTGGGTGTTCAAAATTAACAAATTTAACAATCAGTGGAAATATTTTCCAAATCGGAGTCAATGCATTTCAAGATTGTGAATCATTGAAAAGCTTTATCATTAAAGGAAGCATAAAAGATATAAAAGATATTATTGCAGATTATTAACAAGTATTACACTTCCAGAATCAATAACATATATTGGCTATTCTGTATTTAATGATTGTCAATCATTAACATATATTTCAATTCCTCAGAAAGTAAATAATATTGGACAAGGTGCCTTTAAAAATTGTATATCATTTTCAAGAATTACAATTCCAGGAAGTGTTTCAAATATTGGACAAGAAGTATTTAAGGATTGTCTAAATCTAAAAAGTATTACATTTCTTAGCAACCCTAATTCCATCAAATTTGGAAGTAGTGTATTTTCTGGTATTTCAAATCCAATGGATATTCACATTCCAGGTAATTTTAATCTTGATAATTTTCATCCAACCAATGTATTTCCAGAAAAAAGTAAATTATATGTTACAAGTGAAACAATTTTATCAGAAGAATGTAAAGAATTTTTTGGAGAAAAGAGAATGATAGTTTACTTTAGAAATACAACTAAAATCACAGATGAAACAACAAATGAAGTCATTAAATACATAGCTCACAAGACAATTCAAATTCTAACTGAAACATATAATGCTAAGTTCAATAAACGTAGAAAAATTAGAAGGTAAAACTATTAATATCAATCAGACTATTCCATTTTCAAGAACTGGAAAGATTGACATTCAATTTCAATATATCAGATCCAGAATGTATTGTTGAGAATGTTATTTTTAAGTTGTTATAGAATGTAAATAGTGTTTGATTTTTTTTTTTAGTGAGAATGTTGATGATATATCCCAATCTCGCGATTTTCTCTGGTTCTATTAAATTATATTGATACAATTCAGCATTAATTGTCATAATTAATTTAATAATGCATTGAGGTAAATAATTCATTATAATTAAGATTTACCATAATATTAATGGCAAGTGTTTTAAGTTATTCTATCATCTGTTAGTTTGCATCGACAACTTTTTAAAAAAGTAGTATATATGACGGGTTTTGTGACTTTTTTTGTAAACGTAAGAATTCATACATTATTGAACAATTTTGTATCATTTTTTTTAACATATGAAGTAAAAAATGTATGATTCTTACGGTTTTTATTCTTACGTTTTTGAATAAATCAAGATTTAAAAAATTTTCAAAATTGTAAGACATTTACACTCAACCCATACATAATGAAATAAAAAATAAAATTTTTTAAAAATAAACACATTAAAAAATTAACATTAATTTTAAAATAATTTATTTTATCTTTTATAAAAGAAGCTATATATAGATGATGTCAGATATTCCGCGATTAATTAAACATCATTTAAATCCTGAATGGGTTAAACTTCAATTTAAAAATAAACTTTAAAAATTCATGTCTTACGAAAAATTAAAACTTAGTTATGTTTATTATTTTATTTTTTTATTTTGTATGAAATGAGCGTCAAAACTAACAACGTTAAAAAATTAGGATTCACAAACGAGGAAATAAAGGATATATTAGAGGAGGCGGGTTATGAAGTTAATAAATATTATTTAAGAAATTGTCAAAAATTTGCCGAGTTATTAAATGATTTAGATTATGATGGAAAAATGAATAAAGATGATGTTATAAATTTCTTATATCCTACATCTGAAGAAGAAAAACCTAAAGAACCTGATGTTTTCCCTGAATATTATGAAGAACGAATTAAAGATGATGAATATGATGAAATTGAAAGACTGGAAAAAATAAGAGATGAAATAGATGAAAAAATTAAGGAATTAAGAGAAGTTGAAAAATATAATGAAAATGAAGTAGAGGGTTTAATGAATATCCCAGCTTCAGAATCAGAAGTACAGAAATCTCATGAAGAAAGATATAAAAATTATGTCTCAGAATCAACACAAAATTTATTAGATGGTGAAATAGACGAAACACTTTCAGAAGAAGGTACTAAATTTATTCGTAAACATAAGTTACAATTTATTGATAATGAAGAATACCCTGTATCCTACTTTCACCCCTCTCGATTCTGAGAAATTCAAAAAAGCTCTTAAAAACGTGACATATGCAACAAATACGATTAAGAAAGAAGATCATGATATTTACACAAATTATTATTTAAATAAATGCACAGGTGTTGATAAAGTTTTTGATTTATTAGATAAAATATCAAAAGAAACCATTGGAACCTATAAAATTTTATGCGATTGTGGTTTCATTATTGAAGATACCAATAATGTTTCATATGAAAGAACAGCACCGAAGGAAGATGAAGTGGAAAGGTCTATACCATTTGTTATTAAGAACATAAAAGATATGAAAACTTATAAACATTATATTTATTCATTTATTTCAGAAAAAATGGAAGCAACCCATAAAACATCTTCTCATCATTTTATAGCTATTCATACATTCCTTTTCAAAGTTGTGAAATTAAATAAGACAGGAATTAGATTTAATGTATCAGGGTACGCATTCTTGAGTAAATTAAAATGTATTCGTCACGTCGCAGATGATAAAAATTTATGTGTTCTTAATTCATTTTATGGACTTTAACCCTGGACTCTCTGAGTCTCGGACTTTAAAAAAATAAACTTTATTTTTATTTTTTTTTTAATTTTTATTCTTACATAAATGAACAAAAATGGAACAGCAAAAATGAATGATAATCAAATAAGAGCAGAAGGTAGAAGGTTATTTAAACGCTTCTATAACATTCCTGATGGTGTTAATCCTAAAACTCGTAGAAGTTATTTAAATGAAGCATAGATGCATATGAAGGATTTGACATTTCATCAGAAAGTGAGAGATTAGCGAGAATGTTAAATGTTAATATTGATTTTTATTATTGTGACCCTCAACCAGAAGACGTAGACATTAACAAGGTAGACTTTCCATTAGTGGAATCAATAATGATAGATCCAGAATTTGAAACATAAATATTTTATTAACACAAAGTCCATGTGGAAAACTTCACGCTGACAGAATTACAGACGTTGAAGCACTCACAGGATATAAAGTTTGCCCCTTTTGCAAAGAAGAAGTATATTCTATCCGTGATGATCCAGAAAGGAAAAACCAAAGAAGATTTTTAAAACATTGTGAGAAATGTAAAGAAAATAATGGAAGATTAATTCAAGACGTTCAATTGCAAAACACACAACAACCATATACACCACATATTACGAAACAGAAGATATATCAGTGGTTATTAGCTCATAATTTGCAGGAATATTATCAACCGACAAGATATTATATTACTTTTGACTTTGAAACATTAGAGACTAAAGAAGAATTACAACTTTCTGGTGTGCAACTTTGAACGCTTACTTAAAACCATTCATGGTATCATCAACTGTCAAAATAAAGCCGCAAAGCGGCGAGGTCGTAGACCGTGATAAAACATATACGAGGAATTTTTGCTTAACTTCAAGTGATTCTTTTATTTCTGATTGGATTGAGTTTTTATTTTCAACCTGTTCATTAGTTGCTAAATCAAATATTGAACAATATGATGAATTATTGAAGTCTCATACATTAAATGAAAAACAGAAGGAAGTATTTAAAGAACTTCTAGATGAGGAATTCAATAAAGTGAATATCATAGGTTTTAATTCGGGAAAGTTTGATTTAAATTTAATTCTTCGTGATTTAAACACTGCAAAATGGAAAATAAAATCAATGCTGGGTTCATCTTCACAATTTAAGCAAATCATTGTAAAGAAAACAAACGTTCCATATGAATTGAGATTTATTGACATCAGAAATTATATAGCGGGTGGGACATTAGACCAATTCACTCAAGATTTCGGAAACAATAAATCACGTGTTAAATCCTTTTTCCCTTATCAATTCATCACGTGGGAAAATTACGAAGAAGAATTATATAAAGAGGAACCATTCACTCAAGATTCATTTTATTCAGCATTAACTCAAGAAACTATATCAGATAGTGATTATCAAATATATCTCAATGATGCTAAAAATTTTAAGAATAGATTAGAATATTTTATTCATTATTGCAATAAAGATGTTGAAATTATGATTGACCCAATTGATAAAATTATCGAAGAAACATTTGTTTATAAAATTGACATGCTTCATAATCTTTCTTTATCATCGAATGCATCAATGATTCGTTACGCTTTAGCATATAAAGACTTTAATCCTAATGAAAAATATCCTGAGGAAGAGATAGAATCAAGTTTTGAATTAACGAAAAAGTATTGGAAATATAAAATTGAATCATATAAGAAACAAGATGAAAAAGCAGAAAGAGATACTAAAAATAATGTTTCAATGGATGATTTTCAATACTATCACGATTTAATCCTTTCATCTAAATGCAAAATGTGTGGTAAAGCGTTTACATATGCAAATAAACCAACATTAGATAGAATCGATAATGAAAAACCACATACCAAAGAAAATTGTCAGTTAATGTGTTGTTATTGCAATGTCGTAAAATCAAATAAAGATGAAGATGTTCAACGTTTAAGAATCAATTTAAGAAATTATGCATTAAAAAATAATTTACCAATGACTTTAGATTCAGTTGAAGCTTATCACATTCTCCGTAATGGAATTACTGGTGGTCTATCAAATGTTCAACATCGTGTTAATCTTAAAGGAATCACGCACATTAATAAACTTTCATATAGTCCAGAAACTAAAACTGTATCAAATGAGGACACCACCAACATTATGACTCATTTCGTTGGAGTTGACTTTAATTCATTATATCCTTCATCATTTTCATCTAATCCTCATGATTTCATTCAATATACTGACCATAAAATGTATATGCCGGGAAGATTGAATGGTGTTATCATTTGTGATACAGCAACAAAGAAAGCAAAAGCACTGGGAATTATTAGAAAGAAAAATACTTTATTCGTGGCTGAAGTAAAGGGTCACATTGATGAAAAATACATTAATGATTACATAAACTTTTTACCGATAATAAGAAACTTAGATATTATCACAGATGAAAAAACAATTGGTAGTTTTATGTATAATTACATGAAATCAAACAATCTACCAGTTGACCAGAAACAGAAAATTAACTCAGTTAGCATCAACACA